ACCAATACAATCTTTAGAATCAGCTGTGGGGCAGAGTTTGCACTGAAGTGGATTGGGTGAAAAGATTGCGCATGCGTGTCATGTGCCTGTCTGTAAATGGGAGGAAGCCACGCCCAATTTTGGAGCTCCCACCCTGTTTTGGAGTTCCCGCCCCCATTTGGAGATCTCCGGGCTGCAGTTATACCCTTCTCCCCAGCCTGGCACAAATGGCTCGATTTGTTACGGGTTTGATGAAGGCCGGCCTTCCAAAAAACGAAATGTGTTGTGATTGGTTAGCTGTTCCAGTGCATTGTGATTGGTGAACAGCTTTGACGGTGTCTCAGTACTGCCACGCCCCTTGCCAAAGCAGCGAGTTCTGTCTGCTCCGGTATGGTTAAGGAGGGCGTCAATATTGCCATATCAGTTTGAGCTGGATCCAGACCCCGAGAATATTGAGCAAGAGGATCGCGCAGAACCTTTGACTGCACGGATATTGCAAGACATATTAAAGTGGTAACGTTATTGTTGTTTTTTTGGCTAAATCATGTTTTAGATAGGATGTCAACAACCGCTTAAAAATAACTGCATTTACTATGTACAGATAAGTGCATATGTATTATGTTTATTGTTCTTTAATTCTAACATTATAACATGAATTGCAGTGAAACTGTTATACAGTTGAATTTATTTATACCATAGTCCAGTGTTTCCCACAGACTTACACTCTGTTTGTGGCAGCATATATATGCAAATTAATTATCTGCCAGCAGGAGGTGCTGTTGGAGTGATAGAGATCAAGGTTTCCCCGGTAACGGCTGTACACAAAGCAGCGCTCCGCTCACAAACGCTGCTTTATCCGACATTATGTGTAAGAAGAAATTAAATTGACATCCAATTTTCTGAAGACAGTCGGTTTCCTTCAGAAATACAGTGATATAAAAACACCCGCACTCCGAAACACTGTAGTCTCATAATTGAAGTGTAAATTCTGCATTGTCCAGTATTGTACTGTCAGCAATTTATTATAAAAACGTTTTCATAATTGTAACATACATATTTACATACATAATTATTCAGGTGCATGTGTAATAACTTGCGAAAACTTGATACTACAGCAGCACTTTTTCTTCCTCGTCTTGTCTGATGCACTCAGCCAAGCGTTCTAACCACGACCTCGCCCCTCCCCACCATTCGAATTTCCGTAGGCGGGAATTATTTTAATGCTATTCTAATGGGCCGCTTTGTGACATCACAAAACCCGTAAATCAACGCTGTAGTCCAAACGAGCCGTTCGTTGTAGTTCTTAAAAAGGGATAACCCCTAGTTCTAGTCCCTCACCCCCATTGTCAGACTCTGTTCCATGTCTCGTGTTGTGTTTTCCTCCCCCAAATGCTCCAGTTTGATTATTATGCCCATATTTGTTTTTTCCCGTTCCTGTCCTTATGTTAATTTGTTCCAGGTCTTCCCTGTATAGTTCATTTGATCCCAGATGTGTCCCATTAGTTACTGTGTATTTAAAGTGTTTCCCTCGTTTCCCGTCAGCTGTTAAATGTAATTTCGTGTTCTGTGTTTCCCGTGTTCCCTGCTTTATTTTCATTAAAGACTTTGGATTTTGCTTTACTCCTTGTCTCCTGGCTCCACAGAACAGCGGATCACTCAAGCCTGCCAGCTGCTCCGAAGACTAGCCTTCCGGCTGCGGCTCCCACAAGCCCACAAGCTCGCTCCAGTTTCGGCTCCAGCCGTAAATGGGAGGAAGCCACGCCCAATTTTGGAGCTCCCACCCTGTTTTGGAGTTCCTGTCCCCGAGTCTAGCCCAGTGAGGGCTCCTGTTCCCGAGTTTAGCCCACGGAGGGCTCCTGTTCCCAAGTTAGCCCACGGAGGGCTCCTGTTCCCGAGTTTAGCCAATGGAGGGCTCCTGTCCCCGAGTTTAGCCCACGGAGGGCTCCTATCCCCGAGTCTAGCCCAGTGAGGGCTCCTGTTCCCGAGTTTAGCCCACGGAGGGCTCCTGTTCCCAAGTTAGCCCACGGAGGGCTCCTGTTCCCGAGTTTAGCCCAGTGAGGGCCGCTGTCCCCGAGTTTAGCCCATGGAGGGCTCCTGTTCCCAAGTTAGTCCACGGAGGGCTCCTGTCCCCGAGTTCAGCCCAGTGAGGGCCCCTGTCCCCGAGTTTATCCCAAGTAGGGCTCTAGTCCCTGAATCCAGTCCAGAGCGCACTCCAGGACGCTGTTAAACTTATATTTTTTTAAATCAAAGTTTTTCTACATTAAATTAAATTAATGATTAAAAATGGAAGACAAACACATTTCTAGAGTAGAAATGACAAAATCTACTGTGAATGGATGAAAATAAAGATGTTATAATGATAAAATAATATGTTACATTGTTTTTACCATGTATTATAATCATATAATATAATATAATAAAATATATACAAATACAGTATTAAATATTTGTAATATTATTTATATATACATATATTTGAGCAATAAGGTACAAAAGGCCCTATATTATGAATATAGGGATGTCTAAAGGGGACCCCTTCAGCCATGACTATATTTGTTCCGCTGGAAGATGATGGCTGCGTGTGAAACCTCAGACAGCTGCCTTACTGCCTCACTGCCTTGTCAGTCAGTGACTAAACAGACAGCATCTGTGTATGAAAGTACCTCTTAAGTAAACAGCTGTCAGACAGGCTTCCAAGGCACCATAACATCATGTCTAATGATCTAGAACAAATTCAAGTGAGCTTTAGAGATAACGGAGCAAATATTTATTGTCTACAATACTTTTTTTTCTGGGAGATCCAGATTTGGATGTACCTTTCTGCCTTCTTACCAGTGTCATTTTAGTATTATTACATCATTATAGTTTTCATAAAAACGTTGAAGTAGCTTTAATTTTACATTGTTATCATTTAAAATATTTAGGTAAAATATTACAATTTTAATTTTAGTTTTTATTTATTTCCCCCATGCATGCCCTTTATGTATATTTTATTTCAATTTTCATTTCAATTAACAAAAATGTTTAAAATAGTTTTAGTTACATCAATAATAGCCCTGCTTCTTACCTCCATACAAGTGCAAAGGCAGCAATTTTCACTTTACATAATTAATACAAATTTGACACAATAAATTGCCCTAGTTATCAAAATTGCATTTAGTTGAAAATAGCACCCGTCATGTTATAAAATATGAAAGTCCTTTTGTCTCTGGATCTCAGAAGAGCCCCTTAGTTTGATGTGCCACTTATTTTGTTTGCAACCAAAGAGCAAATCAAACCATGATTACACTCATGGCTTATCTTCATTATATGAACTCAAAGGATTTAGGGGGAAAATAGAGTTGATGATGCGTTTGAGCTTTACGTTTGAAAGGAGCTGAGGAATGTATGACTCCACCTGACCTTTGTGGCTCTAATTAGAGGTCCGGAAGAGAACTAATGACCAAATACTCCTCCACAAAAGACTTCTTCAAAAAATATATATTTAATTTTACTTATTTACAGACTTCTCTATTGTATTACAAACTGTTCTCACTCCCGAGGTACCAAATACAGTACTAGGGCAAAAAGCTCTGAATGTCAAAATGTAGAGGTGCCTCTTAGTGTCTTTAGAGTCATGCAGGTTTGTTTTCAGTAAGAAACCTTTGCCTTTATTACACTGTCTCAAAGGGCATCAAAATTAATTTTTCATTTGGACTCAGCAATATTAATTAGTTTGTAGTGATTCATATTTTAATCTCTTGTCTTCTCAAGGAGCTCTGCTCTGCTGAAGTGTTGTGTTTTGTTAGCGTTTTCGTTTTTAGTTGGATGACTAAAACGTGAACTTTATCAACATCAACTTTCATCATGGCAGTCACTCTCAAACTTCAATCCATGCTCAAGGCACTACCCTGTCCCTGACAAAACATGACACCTCGCGTGGAGCAGAAGTACAAAAACATCAGCTTAAAACAGTATCCTTAAAACCTTAATGTTGGTTAGTTAAAACAGAAACTGATATCCCAAAATATCACCCCTACTTTTTCAGATACATATAGCTGCTTCTGGAATTATAAGCAGGATATCATGAGAAATTAAAGGAATAGTTCACCCAAAAATGAGAATTTGCTGAAAATTTACTTACTCTCAGGCCATCCAAGATGTAGGTGAGTTTTCTTCATCTAAACAGATATGGAGAAATTTAGAATTACATCTCTTGATCACCAATGGATCCTCTGCAGTGAATGGGTGCCGTCAGAATGAGAGTCCAAACAGCTGATAAAAACATCACAAGTAATCCACACGACTCCAGTCCATGAATTAATGTCTTGTGAGGTAAAAAGCTGCATGTCTGTAAGATATAAATCCACCTTTAAAGGTGTTTTAACATTAAACCGTCACTTCTGTGAAGAAGAAAAAAATCCATAATCTATAACACATCCTCCAGTGAAAAAGTCCATCCTCTATTGTCCGCTCACATCAAAATCTACCAACATATTAATTCAGAACTGTTTTAGACTGTTTTTGCGTTTAAAAGGTGCTTGATCTGTGGCTATATAATTTCCTGATTCAGATGAGATGACCGTTTCACTTGGAGAAGGCAACATTATGGATAAAGAACTCGTATTTTAGCTGGAAGTAGCATCTTAATGCTGAATTTGTTGATTAAAAACACACAGCTTTTTGCCTCACAATATGTTAATTGATGGACTGGAGTCATATGGAATACTTGTGGATTATTGTGATGTTTTTATACTCTCATTCTGACGGCACCCATTCACCACAGAGGATCCACTGGTGAGCAAGCGATGTAATGTTACATTTCTCCAAACCTGTTTTGATGAAGAAACAAACTCATCTGCATCTTGAACGATCAGAGGGTGAGTAAATGTTCAGCAATTTTTTTTATTTTTGGGTGAGCTATTCACTTCATGAAGATATAAAAATGTAATGCAGTTTATGAAAGTGTCAGTATTCAACACCTTGGGAATAAGAAACCTGTTGTATATGGGAACGCAGACTGTGCAGCAGGTGTGTATTACCTGAGTAAAATGCCAGTGGAGCTTCATGCGTTTAGCCACTGCATAGCTGCACTCAGTGAGCCGTGGTCGGCCGTTCACATCAACCAGGCACTTGTTGTCATCATCGTCAATGGTGGGGCTCAAGATGCCCACGAATAACTGCTGAGTGCTGGTGTAGTATACATTCTGCAATGACAGAGCAGACTCGTGAATAAAACCAGGCTACAGAGTAAACGTCTGGCATCAAATAGTCATGTTACATTTATAAGCTACTGTGGAAGATTACAAGGAGAGGCAATTGAACCGTTCAATACTGTTCGATAAATGTCTATATCTCATGTCATGAGAAATCTCCATGCAGCAGACCATGAAAATACAAAAGCTAAAGGTGAGATTTCAAATCAACTCAAGATGGAGGGCACATTGTAGTGCTTTCAAACATATTACGAAGAATTCTGGCATACTCTGAAAGTAAAGGGAAAAAAAGCAGCACACAAAATAATAGTGCACATAAAGAATGACTCTGCCATGCGACTCTTCCATGCAACACATGTCATGAATATGAAGGTTTTTTATGCATGTTTATGGCAACTGTCATTAAGTGTCATTCGCTCAGTTATGTCATTTTTAATGCAAAGATGACATTGTTTGAGATGTCTTTGTTATGGGCTATGGTTAGGGGTAAGGGTAGGGGTAGGGTTAGGTCAAATAATGTCATATTTGCATTAAAAATTACAGAACTGAGCGAATGACACTTAATGACAGTTGTCATAAACATGCATAAAACCTCCTTCATATTCATGACATGTGTCATGTCATGATTATGAAGGTGTCATGTCAGTCTTATGCACACCCCTTCAAGTAAAGTGTTACCGGGGTAATTTAAATGAATGAATGAATAAATATGAACTATTATAATAAATTATAAAATATTAACTTGTTATTTTCCCCAACTATTACTAAAAATACACCTTGCATATACAGTACGAATCACATGTCTGAGTCATTCTTTATGATTTTTTCAGGGTTTTTTTCTTTTTCTTTCGTTTGTTTCTTTAATAATTCACATTTTCTCACTTACAATTTACAAAGCATTTATTTGATATGTTAATATTTTGATGTTTCATATCTGAATGCTCTAAATATAATAAATTAATTATTGAATAAGGTTTGGGGATATGCTAATAAACCTATCCCACTCTTCATGTGGCAGCTTTTTGCCATACTAGTATAATTCTCTTTGTTGACTTGTTGACTAAGCAATGCATTATTCAGAGCTAGCATTCGGCATTACACACACTCATACTGAATCTCAGTGCAATAACACTTCAGAAAATATGGTCATATTTAGCCTCTACCTAAAGTGCCTATACTTTTGCAGTGTAATACCTTTATAAGCATTGTATTGAAGGGGTCATATCATACATATTTATCAGTGTATGTTTTTCCATGTGGTTCACGACAATGTTAGTCAAGTTCTATGCAGCACAAAAGTTGTGCTATGATTTTTTTATGACCATCTTCCACCATCTGTCTGACCCTTAGAATTAAGCAGGCTATTTTTGCAACTAGGCACATTGGAAATATGTGACTCTGCCTTCATTTTTGCAAAACTGTTTTACTGCATCTAGTGTTCATTTTGGATTTCAGTCAAAATGAACAGTGAAGGCAGTAAAACAGCAACAACTTTTAACACAAATGATAATGGGGCAAATTGTCAATAAATACTTTTGTGTCATTCCTTGCACAATAATATGTATGACCTCAAAACACTTTTACCATAATGCACGAGTTGTAAACTAATACATTTTGATGTTTGTATCACATAACCAGCTGTTTGGCTCTTCTGTTATAGTAAACATGCTCGGTAGCGCACCTGGTACAGTACTGCACTTGCGATGTAGAGCACTTGGGCGTGAGTCCAGTGAAACACGAGTCACGACACTCAACAAAAGAGCTCAAAGCATCGTAAAAGGAAGCTAAAATGGAATGGTTGCTTCAACAAATGTGTTTTTATCTCACATTTACTTTTGTTAATTTTCGGTTAGGGTTTAGTGTAGAGGCACCATTCACCATATCAATTTGCTGTGATACATACAAATAAAACATTGCCACAGTCACATTTAACAGATTCTGAGAAAATTGATCTCACCATTTAGCGCCAGTCACCGGGTATTTCACTTTAAAAGTGCATTGAAATGTGAACTAATGGGATGGTTGCAGGATTTGATGTGACAGACAATGGCTATTGTGTCACTGAGGACGTGCCAAACATGTCAAAGATTCAAAAGGAAGCACTGCTAATTGTGTTGTTGATGTAATTTCCTGTGATGGAAGGGGTGTCAATGTGTGAGCCAGAAACACCAGTGGCATCTGTCTGAAGAATCACCGGCACTCACTCCAGATGGCCTGCAGGAGCTTAAACCTTCAATGACATGTAGGATTAAGAAACTTGGAAGCCGTTAGTGTGTGTAGTGCATGTTTCTGTGTGACTGAATGTGTGAGAGAAGCTGAGCATAAGGGGAGCAGCCAAGGAGCTAAGGAACATCTGTCAGGCAAGTCAGGCTAGTCTCTCCAGAGCCACTCTGGCCGAGGCAAATCGCTGCTTAAGTCACAAACTGAACATTGCTTGTTGTCTCATGCATAAAAAAAGTATTCACCCATGAATGAATTCTTCAAATGTGTCATTATAATGGAAGATCTGATGCGAAAACGCAGTAGAAAAGTGTGGAGTGCTCCATTTGTTGCTCCTTAAGTTTGTAGAGAACACTGAGCAGCGGATTGAAAGGCAGGTGTGTTTCTCTCCTGAAGGATTTTCTCTTGTTTAAAGTTCAGAGAGTCCTCTGGCAATCTTTAGTTTCAAAAGATAATATTACCAAAGTGTTTTAACGTAAAACTCTTTTTCTTGATGGTATTTGGGTTGAGAACAAGACTTCAGGCTTTTAGACTAGTCCCAGGTTGGTACTACGCATTATTCTACACATATAAAAGTTAAAATAATTGGATTTGAATAAAATAGGTTAATGGTATGGTGCTGATTCGCTGATTTAAAATAAACCTGGTCATAATGGAAAAAAAGGTCTATAAAGTCGACAGGGAATCAAAATGAACCCTATATATAGAGAGAGTTCATTTTGATTCCATGTCGACTTTACAGACCTTTTTTCCATTAGTTCCATTTATATGTGTAGAATAATTAAATATTAAATATATACTAACATTAAAAACATATCAAGCTAATTTAACATGTCTATATAATCTGTGGGTGTGTGGTTGTATATAGTTTTCAAATTATTTACGTTTAGTTATATTAACATATACAATAAGATCATATTTGGGGGTCTGCTGAAATTTGGCATCAGCTGAAAAGGAAAGTTGATTTAGGGGAAAAGGAGGTTTAGAGAAACATTTATTTATATATATATATATATATATATGATCTTATTGTATGATCTCTATATGTTAATATAACTAAACGTAAATAATTTTAAGACTATATACACCCACACATTATATAGACATGTTAAATTAGCTTGATATGTATTTAATATTAATATATATTTAATATTTAATGTCAATGAATTAACACCCTAAAATACACTTTGTAATTAAAAAAAAGTTTTTTATTTTATTTTTTATTATTTATTTTTAAGTTTTTCAAGGACTCTCTATCACCCCGTGCAGCCCCCTGGGGGTCCCTGGGCCACAGTTTAAAAACCCCTGACATGCACATATTTATGGCCATGTGGGAAATGAAAAATAATGTTAACCAGTTGCCACTTATCTGTTTATGTACTGTTTTATGCCACAGTTTTTGTTAACTGAGCTTTTAAAAAAAAAAATTATATCCAATAATCAGCATATTAATGTCAGCTAATGTTAATGTTAATGTAAAAGTTTACAGCAATATTAGCAAATAGCGTTAGATTTGAAACAGAAGCATTATCAAAAACAAAATCTTATAATGATCAATAAAGACAAAAGCCTGTACAGGCAGCTACATCTGAAAATCAAACAGCAAATTACAGCGTATCTTGAAGATTAATGAAAAGGACAGCCATTTCTGTAAAAATCCTGCCCTGATCTACAACAATCAGAGAAAAACAAGCCATTGCAATTATCATGCTGGTTGGAACTGTTAATAGAACAGCACCTTAAAGGGAAACCACGCTGACCACCTCATGTCCTAATGATGACTCACATTCTCAATCCACCATATCAGATGTAAGTGCTGCATTATTGTAGTGAACATCATAATTGATGACTCTTTCCTTTGGTTTTGTAATTGCAATTATTAATTTTGACATTCAATATTATATTTATTTGTGTGGTTATTTGATGTTCATTTTTCTGTCCTATTATGAATGTGGAAAAAAAACTACCACCTAGCATACTGTTCAGACTTGTTAAAAGACTTCTTAAAAGAATTTGAATTTTTCTTCTTAAAAGACTATTTTAATGATCTAAAGAACCTTTTTTCCACTGTAAAGAACCTATTTTGCAATGGAAAGGTACCATGGATGTTAAAGGTTCTTCATGGAACCATCAATGCCAATAAAGATCTTTTATTTTTAAGAGTGTAGGCAAAGTTAAACACCTCTAGCCATTGCTTTTATGTACTCAGCAGATGTCTGTGACTGGTTACAATGCTAAATTTCTCCAAAAAAACTAACACTGATACAAAATTTTGAGTCAGCGGGAGTAGAACTAAACGCAATGGTTTACATATTTCATACCCAACTAATAATAGAATATTCATAATCTCAATTATTATTTCAGTCAGTGGTGTATAAAGTACCATACTCAAGTAAAAGTACAGATATCTTACCAGAAAATGACTTTGGTAGAAGTTGAAGTCACCGTTTAGAATATTACTTGAGTAAAAGTCTTAAAGTATGTGATATTTATTGTACTTAAGTACGAAAAGTATTTTTTAAATCTTAAACATACTTAAGTATTGAAAGTAAAAGTACAAGTAAATGCAAAATGGAAAAGAAGCAAATAAATATATATAAAAACTGTTCATACACTGCTTGAGTAGCAAGATTGTGTTCAGTTTTAACTCTTTCTTCCATTTTGTATTTTTGGGTAAGAATAAGAAGCACTTCATCCGGTACTTAGTGTCTTTCATTCCAACATAAGAAAACATTTCTGGAATCTGCATCTGAAATAGCATTTAGATGTAT